TTTTCAACTCCAACCGACAGTGATAATGAGCTATCACTGCTTGTGCATTTATAAAACGTGCAATGACGATGTTTTCCCTTACAAATTGACAGTGTCACTGGCGGCTCTAGGACACCTGGCATTGATGGGTCGGCATGGATTGTGGGTTTTGTAGTAGTGAGTGTAGAATTTCTAATTTGTTGAATGAAATTAAATATAATACTATGAATATGTTTTTTATTTTGTTATCTAGGAGCTTGACTTGGCATTAGCATATCACTCATTTATCTTTTAGCACTAATTATTGCTTTGAAATTTCTTTTTTCACAAAGTATTGGCCATGTGTCGATGTCATAAAGTGAGCACAAATGACTATAAGTTAGTGAGTTAATATACATTGTTTTGTCATCTTTATGATCATTCAATCCTAATCAAATTGCATTTACTTGCCCAATTTGAAGTTTTTCACCTAGCTGCCGTTTGTTTGAATAAGGTTTTGGGTTCTGAGGTACACTAAGCATGTGGATCAGTAGCAGCATAGTATGTCACAGCTCAGATAGATATTAACAACTGATGGCATAGGGTCAGAAAAATACAGAGCTAGGTACCTACCACATTCTAGCTAGCATAAAATATAAGCATGAAGAACTATGAAAAGGCACCCAACCCAACCCATGGAGAATTTATGGACTTGTGGCAGAACAGTACTACCCCAGACATTTGATTCAGACATGAAAAAAAATGAAGTCCTCGGTAAAGAGGAAAATCACTACCCCAATCCCGGAAAAGCTGTGGAGATGTGCACAACTCTTGGACCGATAGGACGATTGATGTTCCCACACTTGCCAATGGTTTTGGGGTATATCTTACCTGGACTTGAGGGGTTCCACATTTGTTCTGCAACATAGTATAGAGAACAGTTACATCAGCAGTGCCCTGCATTTGTATATGCAGTGTCTACTAGATATAATTAGGTTACTCATTATGTCCCAAAGTAAATCATTTTTTTGACTTGTCCAAAGTCAAGCTATTTTAAGTTTGATTAAATTTATAAAAACATCAATATTTATGACACTAAATTATTATCACTAAATAAATCAGGAAATATATTTTCACAATATACTTATTTGGTGTTATAGACGATGTTACTCTTTATATAAAATTGGTCAAATTTAAGATAGCTTGTCTTTAAATGATTCTAGGGTTTATTTTATTTTAGGACGGAGGTAGAAGTATTTTGGGATGATAGATTGGAATATTGGTTCATTTATGTTGATCGTTTTAACTTTCAGTAGTGTGGAATTTTAAGTGACAGACTTGGCAAGCAATTAACATGGCTAGAAGATGTCAAATTTTAGTTACTGAAACTACTCTCTCTGTCCTATATTATAAGACGTTTTGGCTTTTCTATACATAATTAAAGTAATGTATCTAGAAGAGCCAAGACACCATATGATTTTGAATGTAGGGACGCTCTTCTATGAAACTATTATTTTCATTTATTTTGGTTGTGATTGTTCTATTATCTTTTGTACTTTTTACAGAAAGATATCTAGTTTTGCCACAAAACAAAAAAAATTTCAACTTTCATCCTTCCACAACAACAACAACAATAACAACATAGCCTTTCAGTCCCAAACAAGTTGGGGGTAGGCTAGAGTTGAAACCCACCAAGAGCCCCAAGTCACGGTTCAGGCACTTCAATAGATGCTTTCCAAGTACTCCTATTCAAACATAGATCTCTAGGTATATCCTAAGCTTTCAAATATCTTTTTATTGCCTCCACCCATGTCAATTTCGGTCTTCCTCTACCTCTCCTCATATTATTAGCTTGACTTAGGACTCCACAATGCACTGGTGCCTCTGGAGGTCTCCTTTAGACATGATCAAACCACCTCAACCGATGTTGGACAAGCTTTTCTTCAATTGGTGCTACCTCTAGGTGATCACGTATATCATCGTTCTGAACTCGGTCCATTCTTGTGTGACCGCAAATCTATCGTAACATATGCATTTCTGCAACACTCAGTTGTTGAACATGTCGAATCTTTGTAGGCCAACATTCTACTCCATACAACATAGCCGGTCTAATCGTCGTTCTATAGAATTTGTCTTTTAGCTTTTGTGGTACCCTCTTGTCACAGAGAATGCTAGAAGCTTGTCGCCACTTGATCCACCCTACTTTGATTCTATGGCTAACGTCCGCATCAATATCTCCATCCCTCTATAACATCGATCCTAGATACCGAAAGGTATCCTTCTTCGGCACTACTTGACCTTCCAAACTCACATCTCCCTCCTCCTATACAACTCCGCCAAGGTCGCATCTCATGTATTCGGTTTTAGTTCTGCTCAATCTAAAACCTTTAGACTCAAGGGTCTACCGCCATAACTCTAGTTTCCTATTTACTCCCGCCTGGCTTTCGTCCACTAACACTACATCATCAGCGAACAACATACACCAAGGGATATCCCCTTGTAAGTTCCTGGTAACCTCATCCATTACCGAGGCAAAGAGATACAGGCTTAAGGCTAACCCTTGATGAAGTCCAATTTTAATCGCGAAGTAATCTGTGTTACCATTGTTTGTTAGAACACTAGTCACAACATTGTTGTCCATGTCCTTGATGAGAGTCACGTACTTTGATGGGACTTTATGTTTGTCCAAAGACCATCACATAACATTTCTTGGTATCTTGTCATAAGCCTTCTCCAAGTCAATGAAAACCAAGTGGAGGTCCTTCTTCTGCTCTCTAAACCGCTCCACAACTTGTCTTATTAAGAAGATTACTTCTGTGGTTGACCTTTCGGGCATGAAACCAAATTGGTTTGTTGATATCTGCGTCGTTCCTCGCAGGCGCTACTCGATGACTCTCTCCCATAACTTTATAGTGTGGCTCATCAACTTAATTCCCCAATAATTAGTACAACTTTGGATATCTCCCTTGTTCTTGTAGATTGGTACCAATATGCTTCTTCTCCACTCCTCAGGCATCTTGTTCGATCGAAAGATATTGTTGAACATCTTGGTTAGCCATACTATAGCTATATCCCCGAGACATCTCCACACCTTGATTGGGATACCATCAGGGCCTATCGCTTTGCCCCCTTTCATCCTTTTCAAGGCTTCTCTGACCTCCGATTCTTGAATCCTCCGCACAAAGCGCCTGTTAGTGTCATCAAACGAGTCGTCCAGCTGAACGGTGGTGTTCTCGTTCTCACCATTTAACAATTTATTAAAATACTCTTGCCATCTATGTCTGATCTCATTCTCCTTCACCAAGAGATGCTCCCTCTCATCATTTATGCACTTGACTTGGTTGATGTCCCTTGTTTTCCTATCACGATCTATAGCCATCCTATAAATGTCATTCTCTTCTTCCTTCGTACTCAAACGTCGGTAAAGGTCCTCATAGGCCCGCCCCTTTGCCTCACTTACCACTTGTTTTGCAGTCTTGTTTGCCACCTTGTACTTCTCTATGTTGTTTGCACACCTGTCATGATACAAGCGCTTATAGCACTCCTTTTTCTTAATAGCCTTTTGCACATCTTCATTTCACCATCAAGTGTCTTTCGAGTCGCATCCGCTCTCTTTGATCACTCCAAGCACATCGGAAGCAACCTTCTGAACACATGTTACCATCTTCTCCCACATGCTGTTTGCATCGCCTTCATCATTCCAAGGGACCTCTTCAATGACATTTTCCTTAAAGCCCTTTGATACCTCCCCTTCTAATTTCCACTACTTCATTCTAGCAACCCTAGCTTGTTTGTTCCCACGAGCTTGCACCAGAAAGCAAAAGTCAGCCACCACTAGCTTGTGTTGAGCGACCACATAATCTCCAGGTATCACCTTACACTCCATGTATGTTCATTTATCCCTCCTTATAAGGACAAAGTCGATTTGACTAGAGTACTGGCCGTTACTAAAGGTCACTAAATGAGACTGTCTCTTACGGAAGAAAGTGTTAGCTATCATCAGATCAAAAGCTATGGCGAAGTCTAAGACTTCCTCTCCCTCCTGGTTCCTACTACTAAATCTGAAACCCCTATGAACCGCCTCGAAACCTGCACTTGATGTACCTACATGGCCATTAAGATCACCTCCTATAAAGAGCTTCTCGCTACTAGGGACAGCTCTAACCAAGTAATCTAAGTCTTCCTAGAAAAGCCGCTTAGCATTCTTATCATGGCCTACTTGGAGGGTATACGCACTAATTACGTTTAAGACCATATCATTAATGATAAGTTTAACTAAGATAATCCTATCCCCTTGCCTTCTCAGCTCCACCACACCATCCTTGAGGCTCTTATCGATCAAAACTCCTACTCTATTTTTATTTGAAGTTGTCCCTATGTACCAGAGCTTGAAGCCGGTATTGTCCACCTCCTTCGCCTTGTGCCCCTTCCATTTAGTCTCTTGGACGCATAAGATATTTACACGCCTCCTAACCGCTGTATCCACTAACTCTCTTAACTTACCTGCAAGGGACCCTACATTCCAGTTATCTAAATGGATCCCAGTTGGCTCAACTAGCTTCCTTACCTTTCGCACCTGCCGAGGTAGGTGTGAAGACCCTTACTCATTTTGCACCACACCCCGGCGCCGATGTGGCGCGCCACTAAGGATGCAATGATCCGATCCTTGCTCACTTGATACCGTGTCCAGATCGAGACACGGCGTGTCACGGGGGTGACAACCTGACCCTTACTCATTTAACACCATACCCGGGTTCCGACACGGCGCGTCGCTAAGAGGGTTACGTCCCAACGTAATTCTTTTGGGTTTCATCTCTATTAAAGTGGCTAAGTTTTTACATTGGCTCGCCACGCCTAACACAACCATCATCTTTTACCAGGGCTTGGGACTTGCTATGCTGAGACACCAAAGGTGTCCCACCATAGGCGGAGTTAACTTTCATCCTTCCAGCACATACAATATTATTTTGTTCATTCAAGATTTCATCTGTTTCATGTATGTGTACTAACTCCAGTATTCTACTGTGTGTACACGACTGCAGCGTGAAGGCCACCATTGAGAGGTACAAGAAGGCAAACAGTGACAACTCCAGCGCAGCTGGTACGATTGCAGAGGTCACAATTCAGGTAACATCATGTCCATCAGTCAACACATCATTTCTGATCCAATGACCGTAGTGTTGGTTACCAGTCAAATGCCTGCAGACTCTGTAGTCTATTGATGAACCTAGTGTGTAGGAATACGCAACATTCCTTGAAAGTTGAAACTGTGGTCTACACACAGCCAAAATATTTCTCTGAGCAAAATCTTCAGACTGGACATGCACCCTTTAGGTTCTGGGCATTACACCACAGAAATTCCAGTGACGCATTAAGAGAACCTGCTTGGACCAGCAGTTCATGTGCAGTTGTGCAGATATATAAGTGTCCTCTCTGGAAGCCTGGATAGCTCTGATTATTCCATGCTTGAAATGGTAGAGGATAGCATGCATATTTTGGACAAAAATGAAAACTCTGAAGACTAGTAGGAAAATTCTTCTCTTGATGTGTTTTTTGTAAGCTATGACGCTTATAATATTGTCTCTGATTAAATCTACTACATACACATTTTTTTTTGCAACTGACGAACATTAGATTGTGTATATATATTTAGACTCAGGATATTTTTTTTTTGACATGTGGTATATATATCTGTTAGCCTGGGAATTGCTATGGAGGCATGTAGCTGATGTGGGATCAGACCAGTTGTTAGAAACAGAAAAAACTGAAAAAATACCTTTGATAGCTTTTAGGTCTGGATTGCATGATCCTTATTTTCTTTTCTGAAAGAGTAGCTCTAATTAGTACTAAATCAGTCTACAAGGCTCTGAATTTGTTGTAAAGGTTTACATATACTTTAGAGATGCTTCATGTTGTGCAGGCGTGCAACTTTATAAATATGGCAGTTAGTGTGATCAAATGGAGTTTTCGTATTGCACATATTTTCTTTTTCCTACAAATAGATTTGTATGAAATAAATTAATTGGAGTACATTGGCTTTTCTTGCAATTGATAAATGATTTTACCATTTAGTTCACATTTTGCAGTCAGACCTGTTTGTTATGAATGTCGAAGGAACTTCCACTAACATTTTGAAATAGAAATCAACAGCAGTATGCAATATTACTAATCGAACTTTTGCAAACTTGCAGCACTACAAGCAGGAATCTGCTAGGCTGAGGCAGCAGATCACTAACTTGCAGAACTCCAACAGGTTCAGTTTTTATACAAAATTATCATGTGCGTCCTGGTCAGTTAACAAAACAGAAAGGTCATTTGATGAATTTATAAGCCCCCGATGTTTCAGGGCCCTGATAGGTGATTCTATCACAACCATGAGCCACAAGGACCTTAAGCACCTGGAGACTAGGTTAGACAAAGGCCTTGGAAAGATTAGAGCAAGAAAGGTACTATGCACTATATATATAATAATCATATTTATTGCATTATGTGTGGAAAAAGAAATATTTTGTTTACGCGATTAATGAGCATCCAACTCTGCAGAACGAAGTGCTGTGTTCTGAACTCGAGTACATGCAGAGAAGGGTAAAGAGCAACAAGAGAACATTTTTCCTCTCACAAATTTATTGATTTACTCGACATTGAACAAAATAAAACAAGAATTTCATCTTTTCAGGAAATGGAGTTGCAGAATGACAACTTGTACTTAAGGAACAGGGTAAGTAACCTGTTAGTTGCTATGGACTGTGGGATCACTCTTAGAAGAAAAAAATTTGAACTGTAGTTACTGAAATGTTAAGTTATCTTAGCTTTAAAGAAAAATATTGTAACAAGCTAATAACTGTCTCACAAGCACAGGTTGATGAGAATGAAAGGGCACAACAGACAGTGAACATGATGGGGGCACCATCGACAAGTGAGTTTCAGCAGCAGGGTTTTATTCCTTATGACCCAATAAGGAGCTTCCTGCAGTTCAACATCATGCAGCAGCCTCAGTTTTACTCCCAGCAGGAGGACCGGAAAGACTTCAACCTAGGTAGATTTTTATCTGCCACATTTATTTGAAAAGTATTTAAATGGACACCCCTCAAATGTTTCATAATATCATGTAAATTCTTCTAAATGACATATTAATTGGTTGTCAGAAAACATGAACCCATAGGACTAAACCTCCCACTTGGCTACATAAAATTTCCTCTCCAAGTACATCTCATAGCAGTTTTTGCCATCCTGATCTCTTTTAATGTCTTCAGGGGAAAGATAAATAATGGACCTCTGGAGCTTGAGTTGTTCGTGATCATGTGACTGCAAGTGAGAAACTGGAGCTACATTACTGTGGAATTATATGTAAAGACTAGTACTACTGCTTCATGTGTGTGCGCATGCGCGCACGTAGTATGCACAATTTCATCCCACTATTAAGGCTTGGTACCAACTATGTGATATATAATTAATCTTTATTTGTAATCCAGGATATTTGTGATGCATGTTAGCTAATCTACTACCACCTTGTGAGAACACAGCAGAGGAAGGCGGCGCCGACTTAGCTGCCTGCTGTGTGTGAACACAGCAAGGGAAGGCGGCGCCGACTTTGCCCCCTGCTGTGATACAGTAGCCGCTGCAGGTGCAGGCGCCGCACGGCTCACCTGCAGCACTGTAGGAACAGGCAGTGGCCGACGCAGAGTCAACCCTGTCAGTTTATCTAGTTACTATGCCTGCATGGGCGCTGCACATGGACTAGATAGTTAGAGTTGTATAAATAGACATGTATGGCAACTCAGTAAAGAGAGCTCAGATTTGCCATCACACAGACAGGGCTTCGGCCAACGCTGTTGCCTTGTATTGTGCGTGCTTGCTCTGTTCCCCCTTCCTCTTCTAGCTCGATCCATAGTGTGTGGGTACGGACAACGCCGGTACGTGGTTTGCACGGCTAGTGGGTGCTCGGCAACACTAGCGCGTGCTCGGCGAGACCGACAAGTGCTCCGCTCGCCTGAGCCGGTGTTCGGCAAGATCGGCTGGAGTGGTTCACCGTCGTGAGCCGGTGATCCTGTGAGACCAACGGAGTGGTCTGGAGGCTATCTCGGTGGTCTCGAGGCTATCAGGTAGTGGTCGGACGCTGTGGTCGGTGGTCTGGAGGCTATCTGTAGTGGTCTGGAGATCATCTCGGTGGTCGGGAGGCTAACTGTGGGCCAACAAGTGGTATCGGAGCCGTACAAGCGTCGTCGTCATTCTAACCGATGGCGATGACAGGCGGTTCGGAGTTGGGCGACGGCAGTGGCACTGTCGTGGCTGCCCAGCTACTACCGGAGGTAGTTGTTCGCACGGTGCGAGAGGTCAGCGGCACCACTTGGCCGACGCTGACTCGCACTAACTATGGAGAGTGGTCGGTGACTATGAAGGTCAAGCTCAGAGTCCGTCGGCTCTAGAATGCTGTTGACAAGGGCACCGACGTGGAAGAAGACGACATGTCAGTGATGGAGGCTATCCTCGCTGCTGTACCGGCGGAGTACAGGGAACCGTTGGGGACGAAGAGCTCTGCTAAGGAGGCGTGAGAGGCCATTGCGGCGATGCGCGTCGGTTCCGACCGCGCAAAGAAGGCGACGGCCCAGCTTCTGAAATAGGAGTACACAAACCTCAAGTTCAAGGATGGTGAAACGGTGGAGGACTTCTCCCTCCGCCTGCAGACGCTCATCAGCAAGCTGAAGAGCCACGGCGTCACCATCGACGAAGAGGAGGCGGTCTCCAAGTTCCTCCACTCCGTGCCGGCAAAGTACATCCAGATCGCTCTATCCATAGAGACGATGCTGGACTTGTCCACCCTCACCATCGAGGATGTGGCAGGCCGTCTACGGGCAGTGGACGAGCGTCTGGAGCAGGCGACAGCAACGAAGGACAGCGGGAAACTCCTGCTGACGGAAGAGGAGTGGGCTGCTCGGCGAAACTCCGGGAAGGCAGCCTCCTCCAGTCACGGTGGCAACGGCAAACATTGCGGCAGGGCTTCTTCGGTGAAGAAGCAGATCGACTCCAACGCCTGTCGGTGTTACGGGAAGATGGGCCATTGGGCACGGGAGTGCCCAAATCGCAAGAAGGAAAAGAAGGCTCAGGCTCACCTAGCGAAAGCCGATGATGAGGATGAGGCTACTATCCTTATGGCGACGTTCTGTGCACTGCACGACGTCGAGGCCATGGAGAGGGAAGAGGCGACGACGGTGGAAGGATCTAGCAAGGCCCTGAAGACCGTCAACCTCGACGAACCACGCGCCCAAGTCCATCTTGGGCATGTGGGCGTCGACCAGGAGCAGCGGTGGTATCTAGACTCTGGTGCCAGTAACCACATGACGGGCTCCAAGGACTCCTTCTCCGAGCTCGACGGCGATGTTACCGGTACGGTGAAGTTTGGTGACGGCTCAAGGGTGGCTATCCAAGGGCGCGTCACCATTATCTTCAGATGCCAGAATGGGGAGCACCACCATTATACTACATCCCGCAGCTGCGTTCTAGCATCATCAGCATTCACAAATTTGGATGAGCGCATGTAGCGAGGTTCGATCAGGACGGCGTTCTAAGGATCGAGACCGGGAGCGGCGACTTCTTGCCAAGGTGAAGAGGTCCCTAAACCGGTTGTACCGCTTTCGACCGAAGGTAGAGGGCCCGCCGGTTTACTGGTGGCAAGGCACTGAGGAACCGTGGATGTGGCATGCCCGGTTCGGACCCGACGCGCTTGGTCGGTGGGGAAGATGGTCCGAGGGCTACCCCACATCAAACACGGAGGCGAGCTATGTGTTGCTCGACCGGGAAGGAAGAGGAGGCTACCTTTCCCAAAAGCGGCCTTGTGAAGGAAGCTCTCGAGCTAGTTCACGGTGACCTCTGCGGGCCGATCGCTTTGCTACATGCGGTGGTGGCGGTACTACGTGGGACGATTGCGATGCGCTACATGTGGTCGCAACTCGACGACAGCAAGGACGAAGCGGCGGTGGCGATCAAGAAGTTCAAAGCAGCGGAGGCCGAGAGCGGCAAGAAGCTCCAGCGCATCGAGGACTGATCGGGGTGGCGAATTCACTCGGTGGAGTTTGCTACTCATCTTGCATGGATCAAGGTGTGGGGCAACATCACACCACGCCATACTCACCACAACAGAATGGCATGGTTTGGTCGGCATGGCCCGATCCATGATTAGCATCGGGAGAGGCGGTGACCATGGCGGTGTTCATCCTGCAAAGAACGGGCAAGACGCCGTTCAAGCTTGGCACGAGAGCAAGCCCGAACGTGTCATTCCTCCGGACATTCGGTTGCATCGGCCAAGTCGGGAAGACGGAAGCGAACCTCACCAAGCTGGAGGATGTGAGCACACCCATGGTGTTCTGGCTACGCAGAGGGTACCAAGGCGGCGCACCGCTCTATGACCCACGCGGAGACAAGGTGACTATCTCGCGCGACGTTGTGTTCAACGAGAGGAGGCAGCTTTTCCGAGCACGGGAAAGCGGGAGGCTTCACCAACACCTTCATCGTCGAGCACTTGGTCATCCATTTATGAACAGTGCCACGACTCCGGGAGGAGCGCCGAGCACTCCGGCGTGTAGAGTCGAGCACTTCTAGGGCAAAGGCGAAAGCACTTCAGAGGGATGCCGAGCACTCCGAGAGGAGTGTCAAGCACTTCTAGAGGGATGCCGAGCACGCCAGGAGTGGAGCCAGGAGGTTCTGCGGTGGTGGCGACCACTTCAGGACGGGTACCGAGCACTCCCGTGGCAGAGCCAAGACGTCTTACTGTGGTTCCGACCACTCTAAGATCGAGGTGGACACTCCTACGGTGTGGCGAACACTACAGGAGGAGTTATGACAAGAATAAATGCCGAGCACTTTAGGTACTATGCGAGGCACTCGGCGGAAGAAGAACTCCATCACCGACGATCGAGTTCGCCTCACCTCCAAGTGACATCACTGAGTTTGTGGACGCCTACCACGAAGGTGAGGAGTTGAGGTTCCGCAGGCTGGACAACATCGTCGGTGGCACAGGTCCCTCAGGTATGGCGGGTAGGCTGCTCAACGACGCAGAGCTGCTACTCGTCGTGCAGCAGAAGAACCACCACGTTCACGCTTAGCTAGCCGAAAGCGATGGAAAGCTGGCGACGGGCAATGCTTTGGAGGAGATGAAGGCGATCGAGAAAGCGAGACTTGGTAGCTCGTCGATCCACCCCCGTGATGCCGTCCGATCAGCTGAAGTGGGTGTACAAAGTCAAAGGGATTTGAGCTCGGCGCCATTGTCAAGTTAAGGCGCGCCTCGTCGCCGAGGCTTTTGGTGGCGAGGGCATCGACTTCGAGGAGGTATTTGCACCACGATGGCAGCGCGCATGGAGTCGGTCCGTTTGCTACTTGCTTTGGCGGCAACAGGGATGGGGCGCGTCCATCACATGGACGTTAAATCGGCCTTCCTCAATGGTGAAATGGCGGAAACGGTCTTCGCCGGGCAATCTCCGTGGTTCTTTGTCAAGGGAGAGGAGCATGGGGTGCTCCAAGCTGCAGAAAGCGCTCACGATGAGGCAAGCCCCTCGAGCATGGAACGCCAAGCTTGACACCACGCCGGGAGCTTGGGTTTCAGAGGTGGGCAACCGAGCACGCGCTCTACACGCCGACGACGGGGAAGGAAGAACTCATGGTCGGCGGTATGTGGATGACAAATCGCCGCAGCGGACGGAGGATATCAACAGCTTCAAGCGAGAGATGGCAGCTCGTTTTCGAATGAGCGATCTCGGCGCTCTCTCCTACTACCTCGGCACGAGGTGAGACAGGAAGGAGGAACTCACGCTCGGGCAAAGCGCGTATGCCTCCAAGTTGTTGGAGAGGAGCGGCATGGTGGAGTGCAAACCATGCGTGACTGGATGGAGGAGAGGCGCTAACAAAGGGAAAGACTGGGCGAAAGTAGATGCAACACTCTACCGCGAGCATCGTCGGCGATCTGCGCTACCTAGTCCACACAAGGCCGGACATTGCGCGTTTTGTGGACACCCGCTTCATGGAGGATCCCGAGAGAGGATCATCTGGGCTGCGGTAAAGCGGCTACTACGCTACGTCAAGGGGACGGTGAATCATGGAATCATCTTCCCAAAGACTAGGGGAAGAGGTGCGACTCACGGTGTTCAGCCGATGCAGACATGGCGGGGACATCGACGGACGACGGAGCACATTTCGTCTTCCTCGGGTCAGCCCCAAACCCAAAGCGAGAAGGTGGTGGCGCTATCTACGTGCGCTAAACCTCCCACAAGTTGGCTGCATGCTGGCCGCTGCTGGGTGAGCTAACGGCGTGGAAGCTCACCCACAAAGATCGATGGTTCCTCGTGAAGAATCCGGTTCACCGAGTAAACACATCGACATGAAGTTCCACTTCCTCGTGGACTGTGTTGATGGAGGGCAGATCGTCATCGAGTTTGTCGAAACCTGATCGGCAACTCGTGGACGTCCTCACCAAGCCGCTTTCGGAAGACTTGACTCACGGAGCGGAAGGAGATGATCGGCATGGAGGGGTTACAAGGGTTAGCGGTAGGATTAGGGAAGATTGTTAGCTAATCATCGCCACCTTGTGAGAACACAGAGAGGAAGGCGGCGCCGACTTAGTGGCCGTGTGTGAACACAGCAAGGGAAGGCGGCGCCGACTTTGTGCCAGGATCTGATGTGACTGCAAGCAAAGATCAGAGAACTGATGGCGGCGAGAGCTCGCCGGTTTATCTAGTTACTATATAAAGCATGGGCGCCGCACATGGACTAGATAGTTAGAGTTGTATAAATAGACATGTATGGCAACTCAAGTAAAGAGAGCTCAGATTTGCCATAGACGGGGCTTGCCAACATGTTGCCTTGTATTGTGCGTGCTTGCTCTGTTCTCCTTCCTCTTCTAGCTCGATCCAGAGTGTGTGGGTACGGACATAGCGTACGTGGTCTGCACGGCTAGTGGGTCTCGGCAACACAGCGCGTGCTCGGCGCGAGACCGACAAGTGCTCCACTGGCGGTGTTCGACAAGATCGACCTGGAGTGGTTCACTGTCGTGAGCCGGTGATCCTGTGAGACCAACGGAGTGGTCTGGAGGCTATCTCGGTGGTCTGGAGGCTATCAGGTAGTGGTCGGACGCTGTGGTCGGTGGTCTGGAGGCTATCTGTAGTGGTCTGGAGATCATCTCGGTGGTCGGGAGGCTAACTGTAGGCCAACAATGCATGCATGCATGTCTCCTTAATTCTCACCATATAAAAATAAGTCACGCATAAAAAAAAATCCTGAAGCTGAGCCGCAGTGTTGGATGACTAAAAGATAGGATTCTCCTAGGGTTCATATTAGTGTGCTTAGTTTATGTTTCACACTTGCTTATCTAAGACCTTTTATTCATAGTGTGACCCTTGCTATGGACATGATTAGTGTGTTGGTCCTAAGGACTCATTAGATTGCTTTAATTTAGTAGAACAACATGCTAAGGGGCTTAGAGTTTGCATAGACTAAGATTGTTTTATTAATTTCTTTAGAGCCCAGTTCACCTCCCTCTTGGGTCATGGGACAAATATTTTGATTGATGAAGTCATGCTAAGAAAGTCTCAATGTCAATATGCATGCCGTCTATGATTAAGAAGTAGTGTTTACAATAAGTCTAGAAAAATGTGAGGACCCGTCTTGAAACAAGGACCTGAATGCTAGGTGAGCAGTTCAACCACAAGAAACTAAACTAGTTCTATGGTTCATAATATTTTATTAACTTATTTCCACGTTAGTTTGATGTGTTAACTTTATGCTGATAATTCAAACCCTACAAAATACAATTTAGTTGCACATTTGTAAATATAAGAAACATAAACCATTACATGTAATAAAAGGATGTTCCTTTTTAGATTTGGCAACCTAGCAGGTGGAGCCTGTCCGAGGTAGCTCCAAAATCATGTAGCTAGATTGTCCATTTCCTATCCAAATAAGAAAAGCTACAACTATACCCATCTTCTGGTGTTGAGCTCTCATTTGTTTGTCCATACTAAATAGAATTAGGTATGATGTGGATACCAAATACTAGTGTTGTTGTTCAAGTCCCTTGAACTCCTAGGCAATATGTGTTAACTACGTAGACTACTTCTATTAGAACCATAAATTAAAAGAAGGTCAACCATATAAGATTTAAATAATTCTAAACTAGATGGCACCATAAGATAAAAGCATGATTTAGAAAAAAAATCTAAAACTAGTTATATTTTTTGAGTTAAAATAAGTTTACATGAATTTTATAATATTAAATTGGATTTTTGGATTTTTACTTGCATATAAGTTTCAATTATTTTTTGGCTGATTTATTGAAATATTATTTTTGCAACCTTTTTTTCTTCACAAAGTCCATTTCATCCCCTAAGTTATCAACATAATTTGATTTATCTCTCTCTCACCACAACATAGGCAAAAACTGCTCAAAGAGCAAAATCGGAAGGTTTCAAAAGACGAACCGATTTTTCAATCTTGCATGGAAGGTGAATCGGACTTGATGGATCAAGTGCATTTTCCCTGGAGGAATACTATAGCCCCCTTGGATCATTGAAGATTTTACCGATGAGCAGTTCAGATGGGCCGGACCAACTACGTTCAATGGCTGAGGATTCGGCCGAGCCAAACATGAAACTGATCCAAAAGACTGGACCGCCGCATCTGCGAGATACGACGCGCGGACGGCCTCGTTTCTCTCCCGTGCAGCAAGCCTCAGCCTCTCACTCCCATCCTCCTGCACTTAGAAAGCCAGGGCCACCAAGGGCTGTGGCGTGCCATTCCATCCGGCCACGCACTCCAGCAATCCTTCCTTGGAAACGCAGCAGCATAAGAACATCAAACACACATCGCCTTGCTTGCGTTCGTGCGACGATTCATGGGTCGCTTTGGTACCGCGACGCTCGTGGCCCTCGCGGTCTGCCTCCTCTACTGCACGGCGTCCGCCGGCGCCGAGCCGACGACGACGGACCTCGGGGCGGTGCCGTGCGACGGGACGCTGGGGCAGTGCGCGGTGGCGAGCGACGAGGAGCAGGAGGTGGGCGGCGGCGGCGCTGGCGACGCGCTCCTGCGGCGGGCGCTGGCTGCGCGGAAGCCGACGAACCGGTACATCAGCTACGCGGCGCTGCGCGCGGACCAGGTGCCGTGCAACCAGCGCGGCCGCTCCTACTACAGCAACTGCGCGTCGCAGCAGGCCGCCAACCCCTACCGCCGCGGATGCTCCGCCATCACCCGTTGCGCACGCAACACCAACTGATCCATCCTACTATATTCCTAGCTACGTAATTCCCATCCATGACGGTTGACGCCATGACCACATGAGCTGAGGATTATATATATTTTTGCATGCATCGGACTATCGAAGAGATCCAGCGATGCAGATGCAGATCGATCCATTGACGTGCAGGTCCATTATCTATCCAAGGGGCGGAGGAACACAGGGGACATATATATCCGTGTTGTTTGGATTGACATGCATGCATGACTTTAAGTGTTAATTTATTCTTCTTGTGATGAATGATCATCGTCTACGTACGTACCTTAAGTAGTAGTAGTTCCATTGGTTTGATTTCTGATGGGTTTTATTATATTGGGATTTTGTTCTTATGACCGGTTGTACTGAAATAAGTGGGTTCCAGAAAGGAGTCTGATTAGCGTCTGACTAACTGTCACTAATAATAACTAACTAACTAACTAACTATATATATATATATATATATATATATATATATATATATATATATATATATATATATGCGGGTGTGTGTTTGACGGTACTGTGCTCGTGCATACGCTTCTCCTTTAATTTTGTTTTAAGGCAATTTTTGTTGCGAGACACCGGAGAAACGTATAATTGGCTAGTTTACACCGCCAGATCAAGAATTTTTCTAGTACCGTTACAAATTTGTGGTTCTTTGCCGGTGAACACCGCGCTGATTATTTTATACGTTTCTTAGGTTTTGGGAGAGAGAAGATGGGTGAAATGTCTTCTTTGCCCTTGTTTTGAACCTCTGGCCGGCGGTGACCATGACTGGAGCTGCAGGAGCTAGGAAGCGCAGTGACCGCTGCCGACGAGCTAGGGCTGGGCCTGGAGAGGGCGCGGGCCGAGCAGGCCCAGGCGCGGCAGCAGGGGAGCTCGCCGAGCTTCGCCTCGAGGAGCAGTGGCGCGTTGCCAGACGACCACGGTGAAGGCGGAGGTCGGCGCCGCCAGGTCTAGTCGCTAGAGAGAGCGTGGCCGCCGCTAACCACACAAGGCTGCTAGCTGCTCTCCCCGCTTCCCCGGCCACCTCCACGCCGGAGCCTATTGCCGAGCACCGCCAAGAGCTGCTGCTGTTCGCTGCCCTTGATCTGCTCCTCTCCTTTTCTCTGCTCAGAAGAACAGTGCGTATGCCGTGGAAGAAGCCGCCAAGGTCGGCCGATTCGCTAGAACGTTGGCCTACGGCTGGCTCCGCACTGGAACAGAGCGTCGCCGGCATCAGGGCCGTCGACAGCGCGCCACCTCTCTGTTCCCTTTCTTCCCTTTGCTGCCCGTGGGGAAGATGCGACCGAAGACACCATCGGAGTAGTAGATCAGAGGAGGCGGCGGACCCGGGTGGTAAATCAGGATCTCGCCGGCCGACGAACGACCAAATCGAGCGGCGGCGGTGTGTTAGGACAAATAATCAGCGAAGGGCCGGAGGTCGAAGACAAGGGTAGTGTGGATATTTTCTCTATCTTTTTTTTCTCTCCAAAACTAAGAAATAAATAAAATAATCAGCATGGTGTCCACTAGCTAAGAACCATGAATTTATAATGGTACTGGACAAAGTTTCAATCTGGCGGCATGTAAATTGGCTTATTACGTTTCTCCAGTGTCCCACTGCAAAATTTGCCTTGTTTTAACGTACAATATTATTCGCTACTACTCCTATATATATGCTCCACTTTAATTTCGTCCTAATAATTCTTTCCTATATCCTCTTTTCACTTTGGGGCTGTGATGCTGGACTCGATCTGTATTAGCTATACTGCCTGTACATGCGTCTATGCCACAGCCCACAGTACCATACGTGCTACTCATGAGCCAGGAGCTACAAGCATATGGAAGTACATTCGTTTATTTACAGCATCCACGTATGGTGGCAAAGCGTCAAATTAAGCTAACAATAAAGTAGCGGTAATAATAAGCTACTACGTTCATTTCAAATTATAAGATATTTTAGCCTTTCTAGATATGCTGCTTTCACTATGCACTAAATACATAGCAAAAGCACTGTGTCCAGAAAAACCAAAACATCTTGTAATTTGAAATGAGAGGAGTAGAATCATGCAAGCATATACAAACGACAAGCCTGAAGGGGCACGCAGACCACTTGCCGCAGGTTGCAGCCGTGCGTGGTCAACCACTTGCGCTCGCCGTCGTCGTGCTCGTAGGCGAGACCTCGGCCGCCGCCTTCTCCAAGTGGCTGCATCCATCCATGATATATCCATATATTCAATAAATTGATCATGTGACAACATTGTAATTCAGTATTTGATTCATGTGGAATCTGCTCATCAAAGCTTAGCCCCTCCGGTTTACAAACAATTGATATTTTGGACAACGTACGACATGCCCCAAAACATATCTTTCACAACTACTTTCTATTAATATCCTACACATTTATCTTTTATGAATGGACTTTTCAATAGGGTGAAAAATAGGCCATCCATGTCTGATGCCAGTTGCCAGATCCAAATTACGATACTAAAAGTTGAATTTCTCATGAAAATATGAGATGGTTTTTATTCGAGTATCTTATTGGATAATGTCCAGGGGTATTTTTGGGCCTCATATCAGATTTTTGGATAATTAGATGAACCAACTAAATTCTAAACATTTCAAAATTAAGTAAAAACTCCAATTTAAGATTTTACCATCACTAGAAAATTTAAAATAAGTGCAAACATTTAATTTTAAAATTATAACTTCACTAAAATATTCTAAAATTTGAAAATAAATGTAGTTTTAATAAAAATAAAGCTTAAAAACATTCTAGTAATGTCCAAAAAATATAAAATTAAGGTTTTAGTTAAACAAAATTTAACAAATCCAAAATAAACCTAAAATTTAACTTCATGAAAATTAACTTACTACAATTGCATAGATGGTCATTTCAGGCTGAAATTTTGGGTATAGGTCAGTAATTTAGAAGCAGATTTAGAGATTGGTTTATGTTATTTTTCATAATGTCAAATGTCGGCGATGTTTATATTTTTAAGAGAATTTTTAGGATTTATGTTTTTTTAGTGTGTCTCATGAGTATTAATGTGATATGTTTTATTGGGGTCTCCAATTAATAACAGTAAGTCCTGTGTGAACTCTAAAGGCATACTGATGAGGTTTTCCAAGAGGTGGCAGGAGCAACGGCCGGGCAAGTACCTGTCGATGCGGGACCCATAAGGTTCCCCACGGTGAAGAGAGAAGAAGACTTAGTCCAAATAGGATTCTCCTCATGTAATCCTACTAGGACTAGTACACGTAATCCTACTAGGATCTCTACTTTGTAACCGACTAGGACTCCCGCCTCTCCTGGACTATATAAAGGAGGGCAGAGGTCCCTAGATTGGCAGACCTAGCTAACACACACACATGGGCGACAGACATAACCGACAGAACTCACAACCACAACAAATAGCGCAGGGCGCAATATACTATCCACACCAGACTGGACGTAGGGCGCCGTGATTTTCCGGCGTACCGAACCAGTATAAATCGTTCTCCCTGCGTTTACCATCGAGTTCCTGCAAACGCCGATACCCCTCCGAACAAATCACCGTCCGGGTACTCCCGTGGCGGGTTGCCGGTGGTAAAACATCGACAGCTGGCGCGCCAGGTAGGGGTTCTCGGCGCTTTGCGTTCGAGAGCTCGGTGGACCTCAGATCAAAATTCGCCGCGGTTCTCGTCGGCCCTTGTCAACAAGACGCTGCAATTCCCGTCAACCACGATCAACAACTCGCTACGGATCTCTGCGCACGGCCAAGGTGTCCTGATTCAACAAGCAAGCAAGTGAAGCCGCACGTTCAAATTTGCAGAAGACTCAAGGCACAAGTCAGGAGTCAGTCAACTACTCGGCCACGACGAAGAGTCCGACATCACCACATGTTGGATCAGCTAGCATCAACTTCGGCAAGGAGTACGTCCCAGCGTTATCAACTCGGATACGGAGCTGGATCGGAGGACAACTGGGATTTATCCGAGAACATCCGAGTTCAACTCCAAGAACGCGACATCCGAAATCAACTCTGTATATCCGGAGACATCTGACTACATCAAGACATCCCACGGCGCCACAACAACAAACAAATACAAGGAAGGCGTATGTGTATATATACGTACAAGCAAGACCAGAAGCCATCCAAATTGATTACTGGACACATACAAGACTACAAGATGGATATGTGAACTAGTACACATACACAGACAAAGATCAACTTTCATCCGGCACCCGCGACAACTCCATCACACACGTCAAGCTGGATGGATGCACCGTACGCACACTGTCGGCAACGACCACGACAAAGGCTTCAGAGAACACGACGACAGGTTCCGAGTTGTTCCGAGTACTCGACATACCGGCCACTCAACTGGTTTACCCCATCAACAAACGACTCGGCCATAAACCAAGCTAAGTCACGTCTCATTTTTTATATATTCCGGATATTATTCATATACCTCTGTGGCCATATTATCTTCCCTTAACGGCTGTTAATTTTCTCGGATAGTAAGCCTTAATTCGTGAAGCTTGTTTTCTCGAATGGATGGTCACGTCAATGAACCTCTGAACCATACGGATGGTCACGTCAAAGAACCTCTGAACCATACGGGTGGTCACGTCAATGGACCTCTGAACCATACGCGAGATTCAAGTGCTTAAACGTAACAGGCTACTACCCAGAAAATTAACCGACCTAGCAAGGGAAGACACAAAAAATCATCATGCGAGCAAACATAGTGCTCTAGGTCTTCTCTTAACGGTCGCCGAATTCCTCAGGTAGAACACGCCTTAATCCGTGAAGCTTGTCTACTCACATGGACGGTCACGAACCGAGTGCCAGGCTCACATGGTCACGTCATGAACCTCTGAACCATATGCCAGAGATTCAAGTGCTTAAACGTAACAGGACACTACCTGAGGAATTTGCATGGCCTAGCAAGAGCAAGACGCAAAAAGTTTATATGCATTTCATAATGCAGGGGCCTGCCCCTGATTGATTATTCAAATATGGGACATGCTC